TCCCCCATAGTGAGCTCAGTTTGCACAGCGCCTGCGGTGCCAGGGCTGAGGGCCAAGGCGGCCTTGCTTCATCACCAGCAGCCAGGATATGAGCAGTTCTTATGTAGGCAGTTCCTTCGTTCTCACAATCGTGTTGTTTTGTCTAATGAGCCAAAATTCAGTCTGGCATTCCTGGGCAAAGCTTTCATGGGGTTATAATTTCAGTGCTGCTCTTGTGATGAGTTACGTGATTCCAGTCTGTCTTCTGATGAGAATGTACCATATTTACAAGTTTATTCATGTCATAAAAATAATTAGCAAACTTCTCATACAAATAAGTGCCTTGAAGTGATTAGTATTCACAATGTGGTAAGTAGGTTGTTTTAGGGAAATGATACAACGATTTTACATTGTCTGCTGATTCCTTGATCCATGGTGCTTTCTGTTTGCTTAAACTTTGAAACAAAAGCCATCATTTGCAATAAGAACACTAACTAGGGGTTCTGGAAGGAAAATAGCCCGATCGGACGTCAAGGCACTGACCCAAGGATGAGGTCTACAGTCTGTTCCCTGACTTACTCTTAGTTCAGTCAGTGACACCAGCAAATTACTTGTTTCAATTTTCCTTGTAAAATAGAGATAATGATGATTTATACCTCCATTACACCAATTATTGGCTTCAATACTACCTGTGGACCAAAGACTACCAAACCCATATTTCTAGTCCAGATTTCTATCCAAGTCCCAGACTAGTATATCCAGGGCCCACCAGGTATTGCCACCTGGGGATATGATGAGCACCCCAAATTTAAGTGTCCTAACTCAACTTCCACCTTCCCCCCAAACCCGATCCTCCTCCTATATTCCCTATCCTTGTCAGTTGTGTGACCATCATTTTACAGATGAACCAACAGTAGTTCCAAGGACTAAAAGTAATCAATTCTAACTATGTTGTGATTGGTGAATTTTTAAGGGTTGCTGTTGATTTTTTTAAAGCCCTAGTGTTGAAAGAAATGATCATGCTTAAGACTGTGAAACTGAACTGCACAGAACTAAGAACCTTTGTGTGAGCATTTTTAGGGATAACTTGGGATCATTTACAAAAATAAGTGAGGGAAATCAAGAAGGGTCCCTCTGGACAGTTCCAAGTTGGAAAGCTTTTCGCCACAAGTCTCATCACCAGGACTTCGGCTCCCTGTCCTTCCTAAGGCACCCCTCCTATGTGTTGTCTGAGGCTGAGAAGCGGCAGTTTGGGCATCATTAAAGAAGATGCCTGATATATCTGGAAAAGATGAAAACTCTAATTCAAAAAGATACAGGTACCCCAGTGTTCATAGCAGCACAATAGCCAAGACATGGAAGCAACCTAAATGTCCATCAACAGAGGAGTGGATAAAGAAAAAGATGTGGTCCATATATACAATGGAATATTTGCCATAAAAAAGAACAGAATAATGCCATTTGCAGCCATACGGATGGACCTAGAAATGATCATACTAAGTGAAGTAAGTCAAAGACAAATATCATATACCACTTATAGGTGGAATCTAAAATATGATACAAATGAACTTATTTACAAAAGAGAAACAGACTCACAGACGTAGAAAACAAACTTACGGTTACCAAAAGGGAAAGGAGTGGGAGGGATATATTAGGAATTTGGGATTAACAGAAACACACTACTATATATAAAACAGATAAAAAAACAAGGACCTACTGTGTCGCACAGGGAACTATTTTCAATATCTTGTAATAAACCATAATGGAAAAGAATCTGAAAAAGAATATATGTGTGTGTGTATATATATATATATATCTGAATCTCTTTGCTGTACACCTGAAACTAACACCATGTTGTAAATCAACTATACTTCAATTTTTTTAAAAGTCTAGAAAAAAAATGCCTGAGCCATAAATCAGGGTGGGCTCTGTTTTTCACACATCTGTGGGAATGATCCAGAACCCAATGCCTGTGGGACACAGACTGTCCAGCCATTCTGGAGATGCCTTTGCCTTGACTTTTGGTTCCATCTCATGACGCATCTGGCACTCGTCGAGATTAGTCCGACAGCACTGTTGGGTACGAGCTTCATCTGTTTTGTCACTCCCCATATCCCTAGCACCGTGCCTGCCATGTAGGGCACTCAATAAATAATGAGGAATAAAAGAATGAATGAATGAACAGATGAAGGAATTCATGCACAGACGCATATTCCACTCTGCCTTCTGTTCCAGCAAGATGCTGACACAGGGCTCCTTCCTTCTCTCATCTACCCTTGCCTGCAGTTGCGTCCGTTCAGGGGGAAGCTGGAGATGTGAGGGTGGGCCAGGGACCCTGCAGCGCTTAGCCAGTCCATCCTGGGTGCTGGCATCCTCACGGCCCTCTCCCCACACCTCTGCCCCAAGAACTGTTTCCTGTGAGTTTCCTCTGAGCCATGAATTTTAAAATAAGTGAAATAAAAGCAGTAATATCAAATGAAGGTAATCATGACTGAGTCTTCCCTGGGGCTTCCAGAAAAGCTCTCCACATTAATTCTAAGTCAAAACATAATCCAAAATACATCACTTCTTACGGGAAAGCTTTCTAGTCTCCAAATCAGGCTGTAGTTGTGCAGGTCATTCTTCAAGGATTCAGTGCTGTCCTCCCACCTTCCAGCAGCCCAGTCAGTGCCCTGATTCCTCTCTCTGACTTGAGCAAGTCAAGGCATTCTATTTTTGAGGTCATCAATGTGTTTCTAAATGTCATAGAGTTTTGATATAACCAGGGGCTTAACGGAGAGCTCATCCTATGATGTACCTGAAGCATTAGGATTCTTGATTGCAAATAATAGAAACCCAACCCAAGAAGCCTTAAACAAAAGAGAGAATTTTATTGGCTCATGTAATGGAAGAGTCCAAGGGTTGACCTCAGGCTTGGGTAGATCCAGGTGTTCAAAGTACATCAACAGGATCCTTTTCCTTCCCGCTGTCAGATCTGCTTTTGTTCAGAAGACCACAAATAACCCCCCAAGTAATGGCAAAGGTGGCCCCAGCAGCCCAGGCTTTCATTCTGCCACCAAGCCAGCCCAGCAGAAAGGGAGCATCTCTTTCCAACAACAGTAAAAGTCCCACCTCAGACCTTGATTGGCAGGTCTGAGTCATGTGACTACCCCCAAGGCTGCCAGGAGGAGGGGCCAGCCTTTCCAGAAAAACATAGACTCAGTTGGGAAGGAGGGGGAGTGTCCCAAAAGGCAAAGAAGAATGAAGGGCACAATAACCACTATCGTACACCCCCTACCCTTGTGGACCTGTCCACCTGCAATGCAGAGCCCTGCAGCAGCAACTTCGCGGAGGTCAGCTGCTCAGAGAGCAGGGTGGTGTGCAGGAGAGGCAGCCTGCAGAATATTTCTATTCTAGAGTCACAGTCCTTTTGTGCTTTTAAAGCTCTCAAATAAATCATAAGCCTGGAGGTTATGATTTCCAAGGACAGTCTTCTTCTATGTGTCTGCTTCTTTTTCATTTTATTCACTAGTTTGTTGTATTTTTTAGATTCCACTTATAAGTAATATCATACAGTATTTGTCTTTCTCTCTCTGACTTATTTCACTTAGCATAATGAATATAGTTCATCCGTATTGCTGCAAATGGCAAGATTTCATTCTTTTTTATGGCTGAGTACTCATCAATCAACTTTATTTATTTTTGTTTTTTCTTTTTTTTTTTTGGCTGTGTTGGCTCTTTGTTGCAGCGTGCAGGCTTCTCTCTAGTTGTGGTGTGTGGGCTCCAGGACCCATGGGCTCTGTAGTTTGCAGCGTACAGACTCTCTCGTTGAGATGCGTGAGCTCAGTAGTTGTGGCGGACGCGGATTTAGTTGCCCCGGGGCATGTGGGATCTTAGTTCCCCAACCAGGAATGGAACCCGTGTCCCCTGCACTGGAAAGCGGATTCTTTACCACTGGACCACCGGTGAAGTCCCCATCCATCAACTTTAAAGTGGACCTCTCAGTCTGTGAGTCCCAGCCCTTCTGCCTGCTTTGTAGAACAACGTTCTGTTACCTTTAAGTTGTCACTTATTTAGAATTTTCCAGATATCTAGAAAATCTCTGATTCCCATCTCAGCTCTATAGATTTCTTTCCCTTTGGATATCTTCTCACATTTCACTGGCATCTGAGGAGGAAGAGCAGCTAAATGTGTGCTTGTTCATCCATTGACTTAGAAGAATTTATATTCATTTTGCTTCTCTGAACTTTTAAAATGAGTATGCATCATTACATTCATAATAGAAAACTAACAACCAAAGCTATTCTTAAAATGGGAGGGGTTTAGAAACATGTTCTGGTCAGGCAGAAAAAAGAAGCATTGTGTCAGTGATTTGTACGAGCATTATAGCACTGACCAGGAAACCATCTTCCCACAGTGCTTCAGGCTGAATAAGAAAGAGGCTGCAGAGTTCTGCCATAGAGCCCAGGGTCTCAACTGTGCTTTTTATCCTCCCAAGCTGAATTAGAAATGGTGTTAATGCAGTAAGAGTGTCAAATATAAAGCCTGCTATTAAACAGATGCGTCAGCTAGTGGCTTCAAGTGGCGAGCATTTATCAGCTTGCTCTTTGGATGGACGCAGGTGCATGGTTCTTCTGCTGGTCTTACCTAGGGTCACTCATGCGTCTTCAGTCAACCGGCAGTCAATGGCCTCACTCACCTGTCTAGGGATTGGCTGGCTATTGGCTGGGGCAAGAGGGGGGATTGGGCCAAGTGTCTCTTGTCATCCCAAAGTCTATCTTGGGCTTGTTCACATGGCGATGGGTTGCAGGGCTTCCACGAATAGCAAGAGAGGAAGCTGCCAGGCTCTGGGCTCACACAGCATCACTTGCACCAGTCTCTGTGATCAGAGCAAGTCATAAGGCCAGCCCAGATCTAAGGAGTAGAGACCACCTCTTGATGGAAGGAGCTGTGAAGTATTGTGGCAACTTTTGCAATCCACCATTTCATAATTCTGTCCTTTAATGCTAATTTTCTGTTTTCTAATTCTGTGTTGTCCTCAGGGTTCTGAGGACCCAGTCTCTGGAATGGTTCTACAATAATGTGAAGAGCCGCTTCAAACGCTTTGGCAGCGCCAAGGTCTTGAAGAACCTGTACAGGAAACACCGGCTGGAGAGCGGAGGGTGCTTTGACATCCTAGGTACGCTGACTGCCTGCCATCTGGGAGTCTTTGGGGGGTTGACGGGAAAGAAGAAGGCCTGGCGTGGAGGCCCTGTACACTGCGGCACACTCACCTGGGACAGAGAAAGTGACTTAAATAATCTGGTTCTAGTAAGGAGCAGAAATAGAAGGACATGTACCAAAGATTCTAAGTTTTAAGTCCTTTAATTCCCGCATCTCCACTGGGCTGGATATGTTAGCAGCTGGGAGGACCAAAGTGTTTCTGCATATTGTGGACATTTTAATTCCAAATCCCTAGAAATGAAAGATTCTTGACCATCTTTCCCTAATGATTAAAACATTGGAAATTCATCTTTGTTTGGTTGTGTAGACTAGGTCTGCACTCAGAGGATATGCCCCCCACTCCTCTTCCTTCCTACTCCAAAATTCTATACATACCAGGCCCAGAGTTTAATGTAATGGGAGAGTTAGAAAAGTCTCAGCTTCCTCCCAGGAAGTTTAAAGGATGAATTCTACCTATGCTGTTAAGACAACCAATGTAATTAGAATGAGAAATTATATTCTATATTCCTATTGGACCAGCCAGTGGAGAGAAATGGTTGTCAGAATATGAACAGCATGTCCTTCCAGAAAAGGCTATTTTTTTCTGTGTAGAGGAAGATTTTTTCATCACTTTGCTGACACAGGTAAATGCCTTTTATCCCTGAGAAAGAGGGAAGAAAGAAAATCTCACATGGAGCTTTTTCACCATCATTATTTTACATTGTTGTATTCTCAATAAAGTCTTTGGTTGTGTCTAATCTAAAAATATGCCAGCCACTGAGACAAGGGGGAAATAGGATGGAAGCATTAAACACGGAGACTCATTAGGGTCTTTTGTGTTAGTCGTTAGAATCTCTGTCTTTCGAACCACTCAGGAAGCCTGTAGCTAAGAGAGCAGGGCTGAAGGTCTCCACATATTATTTTTAACTGCTCTTTGCTGATTTTTCTAAAAATGTTTCTCTAGGAACAAAGACAAAAAAGAAATAAAGTTTAAAAGTAATCATGTTAACAGTAGGTTTTCAACCCAAGGAGATACCTCAAGAAGGTTCCAGGATAGAACTGTCTCATCATTTGCATCCCATACTTTCTTTCTTGTTCATCCTTGCGTCTGCTTCAGGTACCGCTTTACATGTCACCGCATTCACATCTCATAGATGTTCTCTACTGCTTCATGCAAAGTGAAGGGGAGAAGCAAATTCATTTGGAGAATCCTATAAACAGCACAACTCTGGTCTCTTTCTGTTTCTCCCTCGGGTCCCACAGGTGGAGCAAGGGAACATGAATTACAAGTGGGCTGGCAAAAGGCTTTGAAATGTTCAAGTGTCATTTTCAAAGGCGTATCATTTGCTGGGAATAACGCTGACACTACTGAAGCAGATTTAGGTCCCAGGCCCTCTGTGATTCACCACATCTCTCATCTGGGCCTCAATCACAGCACTTATCACATGGCATCCAGGTGGTGGTTTACAAAGCTCCTCTCCTGCTGGACCAGGCAGAAGCAATAGCTTCTTCATCTCTGTGTTCCCAAAGTGTGGCCCAGTGGCTGGCAACTCTTAGGTCCTCAATATTACACAATTCAGTCTTAAAAGCACTTTGTGGGTACCAAGACACTTCATAGAAGTACTAGAATCAGTTGCTTTAGCATGATTTGTATCTCATTTTAAACTAAGATTTCCTTTTGAGCAACAAGAAGACAAGCAGGCAGGAGACAATTTATGAGATGGTACTCAAATCTGTAAAGTCGTGATCATAAAACAGAGCGATTCTACATACCACCTAGAAAATTGAGTTACACCTCAAGCATGGAGAAATCTCCCGTGTGTAAGTAGTGTCCTGATTATGTCAGATGACCGTGGAGACATCAGCATTAGCTTCTACCTACAACCCAGCACCTTGGTATGGTTGTCATCCGCCATCCTCAAGCCCGACTACACGTTAGAGTCACCTCACGAGCTTTGAAAAAGTGCCAGAATCGTCTTCCACCCCGTCAATTACTTCCGAATTTCTGGAGGTGGCCCCGGAACGGATATTTTTTAAAGTTCTCTGGGTTATTTTAAGACACAGCCAAGACTGAGAACCTCAGCTAGAACTTCACTATAATTCGTATGGCAGAGTTCTGAATAAGATGGTTCCATCTTCAACTCCATCTGAGGGTACTTAGTTTCAGAATTTTGATTGTCAGAACATAATCTACAGGGTGCAAGACCTGTGCTCTGCTCCAGGACTCTCAGTATAAAACTCCTTTTATCTACGAAACATCTCCATTGCATGGACCAGTGTAGTTTGCCATAAAAAAACACTGAAAATTCATTGAGTTCACAGAATCTTATGGGTTACCCATCACATGTACCCATTGCACAGCCATCAGTCCCAAGTTCACTTCCTCCTCCTGCAGCCCATATCAGGTGACCAGATTAGGCAGAACTGGAGACCCATTCGTTTTGTCAGATAAATCTAAGACTTACTCATTCCTTCAGTAAACATTTATTGAATGCCTGGTTTAAGACCTGGGAGTGACAAGATGGGTAAGACCCTGCCATCTCAGAGCCAACGTTGCAGTGAAGTCAGAGAAATAAGTAAATAGATTTATAAAAAAATGTATAATGTCCAATGCTCATGTGGTTTATCTGATAGATTCAGTGTGACATTTTTAACAGTTATTCTAAAAAGAAGCACTACATGAAAAGATGAAAGTAGCCCTTATTAATATACTTAATCCCTAGACAATTTGGTAAATAATACATACATTTATTTAGTATTGGATAAATAAAATGGGGAAAATAAATCTTGTTTTTATTTATTAACGTGATATATCTATTTTTGACACGATTCTTGGAAAGGTCTATGACATCTTTCATGTGGGATTTGACTAACAACATGGTCTTTTAAAAGCACTGAGTCGCCTGAAATTGGAGGTTCCTGCAGCTCATGGAAGCTCTGACTTGATGTCTGGCTGCTGTGTCAGTGCTTTCCGAAACAGTTCAGTTGCTTTCTGCCCTTGGAAAAATCCCATCATCCTAAATGACACAGAAGCTCCCACCTATGAATTTAAAGGGACACAGGGAGAGTTGTTGTACTAGAAGATTTATAATCACGGAAATCCAGAGCCTGTCCTGGTCAGCGCAGTTCTCCCAAAGATGTTTTCAGATCTTCTCCACCCCCATCAAGCTCCCCACCACCATCCCCGTTGTCTCAGGAGACAGCCTCACCGCCTCCTTCGCAGGGCAGACCGTGTACACCTCCGCACCTGATCCGTCACCTTCCATGAAGGTCTCAAGTTCACGCAGCCCTTCTGTCTTGCCTTTCAGCCTCTCTCTTAAGCGGTTCCTTCCTATTGACTTGTAAACATGCCCAGTCTCTCCCATTTCCTAAGCCCTTCCTGGACTACAGATTTTCTGCCACTTCTGCCCTGCCATGCTCTTTCCCATCACAGGGACACTCCAGAGGGTGGGCCACACTCTCAGCTTCCTCTCTAGACACCCACCCTCTCCCTCTTCCAAGCTGTCCTCCACAAAGCAGCCGGCGTGCACCTTTACGTGTGTTTAGAAACACACACCTAACCAGATCACCCCTGTGGAGACTTTACTGTCTTCAAGTGGCTTCATGGTGGGACAAAGATCAGAACTCTGATGTGGCCACTGTGACCTGTGCGGTCTGCTGCCAGCCCACCTCACCCCAGGTTCCCTCTCCTCTCGCAGCCCAGCCACCCGGCCTCTGTCTTAGCTCTTCAGATGCACCCTGCTGTCCCCACTGCCTGTGCCTGTGCAAGCTGTTTGCTCTGCCCTGGACTCCCTCCCACCCCCACACCCTTTTGGCTGGTTACTTACAGTCTAGGTCAGTCTTCCCTGCTGAACTCTTGCCCTATTCTATGAACCACCCAGTCACAGCACTCAACATATCTATAGTTTTATATTTATTTATATAAATTTTTGGTTAATGAATTCTCACCCACTAGACTATCAAGGTTGTCAGGGCAACGAGGATTTCTGGCCTTGCTCACCAGTACACCCTAATGCTCAGCCCAGGGCCAGGCATCTACTAGATGCCCATGAAATATTTGCTGGATGAATGAATGGCTGCCAGATGCAGCCAGGCCAAAGTGAAATATCTGCACTTAGATGTACAGCCTGGGAACTGAGGTGATGACTTATCCTAAAGCCTTATTTTATAAGTGAGGAAATGGAGACCCAAGAAGGTAAAGTCACTTCATTATGGTCACAGAGCTGGAGTAAGTGACTATGGGTCTTCTGAAAGCCTGGTCAAAAAACACAAGCACAGAGAATAGTGTATGGTCAGACTGAGTCCCCGTGGCAGGCCACACACTAATGACCTATTTCATAAAGGTAGCAGCCTCCTGACCCCGCTGTAGATGCCTACAGCAGTTACCCTAAGAGTTCCCCCACTGGAGCCCCATGCAGCCCATCCAAGGAAGCACGGGCCGTATTACGTGTATCAAAGGTCTACTGCTTAGTTTGACTTGACATCAATAGCATTTCCCCATTTTGAGCTAAGAGCTGTAGACCCACATTTATTTTCTTGGCTCTATCAGTGTTTTCCACCAGCATCCAATTCAAGAATTTTTTTGAGCCCCCTGCTGTCTCAGTGCTATCTTAGGTACTGGTGATACAATACAGTAATTTAAAAGGGAAAGAGACATCATCCACACCTCCACACCTTCAAAGATCTCTTTTGATGAATTAATATGTGAACACAAATGGTAAATCCCCAACTTAAAAAAGGTTTAGCCAACTGCTCTTCCCAGCCTGGAACCAAGATAGGGTGTGTGTTCAACTGAGAGAAGACCAGAGAAGAGGCAGTGGGCCTTAAAAGATCAAATGCCATGGCTTACCTTGTCTTGCTCTGGGCTTGTTTCCACTAACTGCTAATGACACTTTACTCACTGGCTAAAGGCCACTGTTTAGATTGATGCCATGGACAGCAGCTAAAGACCAGGCATGCAGTGTCTCATCACCCATCATGAGCAGAGTTCTACCATTATCACAGTTTTTCTAGTACGGAAGCCAAGTGTCCGAGAGGTTAAGTAACTTGATCAAGGTCACACAACTAGTCATTTGCAGGTCCAGGAAATGAGCTCATATCTCTGACTTCAATCTGTTATTCCATGTTTGATTCTATATTGCCTCCAAGGAAGGCTCTGGAAGAAAGTTGGGGGTGGAAGCATTGCTACACAAGGAATTAGTATGAGAAAGAAAAATGTGACTGGTCAAAATCTGTAGCATTACTGTAGAACCCAGTGATTGCCTAAACCCATTTGCAAGGCTAACAATCAAAGTGGGTAATGGTGGTCCGCCAACTCAGTGACACAGTGCACTGGGCTCACTGAAGACCTTGGATAATCTTATATCTCTCTGTCTCCTCCTCTCTCTCTCTCCCTCTCTCTCAGGAGGAAGCTTTTTTGACGCAAACCTGGAGAATGAAGGAAGTATTTCAGGCAGTGACTCAACATTTTATAGGCAGTCAGAAGGTAAGTTTGCTTAAGGGTTTACACCTAATGGGAGGTTAGAGCATTATAAACCCCTTCAGACCGTCAGGGTCCCCTATGGCATTGGAACCACTGATGCAACTCTGTTATTGTGTGTGAGAGTCTCCCTGGGTCTTCTTTTATTGCCATTTTTGTGAATCCATCATCAAAATAGGTGAATATATCTAAGGAGTAGCCTAGAGAAGTACATTCCGTACCAACCACTAGATACTTAAAATCAACTAGTGTGTGTTTTTCTGGAGTTGGAATATGACAATCAACATACTCACTTGTGCAATTAATATTAAAATATTCTTATAAATAATGTACCATTTACTGATCAACTTTTACTTTTTTATGCCAGTACAGTCATCCCCTTAGAGCAAAGGTTAAAAGCAAAACAAACTTCTTCCAATTCCAAATAAAACCTCCTCCAACACTCCGGCTCCTTCTCCAAAGTACTGGGTGTTGGGAACAGGTGTCTCCTAGTCCCCCTGGTCCTGTGGCCCCCCACAGTGCTTCTGAACTCTCTCTGTTTTCTCCTCGGGCACCTTCTCATGAAGGTCTCATCCTCTATCATCCTTGCTGCCTTCTCCCTGGGAGAAGTCACATGGCTTTGGTGCACCTCTGTCTGAATGCCTAGCCCTTACTTCAGCCCAGAGTTCTAGACTCAGTGTTCTGATGCTTGGTCACCAAGACCTGCAGCCCCTCCAGGGATCTTAACTTCAGCATATCCCAGTCAAGCTCCTCAGCCACTTAAGTCCACCAGCAAGACTTATCTTTTCCTCAATCCCCCTCCCCGCTTCCACCCAGTCACCCAAGTTCCTATGGGTTCTATTTGCAATCCCATCCTTTTCTTTCTGTTCCAAGGTCTATGGCCTGAGCACCTCCCTACCCTCAACTCTCCTGTATTAATATTAATTTCAGTAACCATCTATATCAGCCAGGGTTCTCCAGAGTAACAGAACCAATAGGGTATGTACAGATAACACACACACACACAAAAAAGAGGTTCGTTTCAAGGACTCGGCTCACACAACTGCAGGGCCTGGCAAGCCCACAGAATAGGTCAGCTGACTAGAAACTCTAGTAGGAGTTGATGCTTAAGTCTTGAGGCAGAATTTCTTCTCTAGGAAACCTCTGTTTTTGCTCTTAAGGCCTTTCAACTGATTGGATGTGACCTACTCACAGTTTCAAGGGTAATCTCCTTTACTTAAAGTCAACTATTGTAACCATAACGTGGACCACACCTACAAAACACCTTCATAGCAACACCTGGGTTAGTGTTTGATTAAACAGCTGGGTGCTATAGCTTCACCAAGTTGACACATAAAACTAACAGTCCCCCCCACCTGACTGGTCCTCTGAACTTCGGTCACTCTGCCTCTGCTTTCTTATCCTCCCTCCACACCCCACCAGTTTTTATCTCTGAACACCCTCTCAAGCCTTCACTTTCAGCCCAGACATCTTAGCGCTCCACTCCACCTCATGCCAAAACCACAGACGTGGCCTCCACCCTTTTTGATGGCTCTAGGCTCTTCCTCTCCAGGGCTCTGTGGAAGCTGGTGACTATCCCCATAATAGGATCTCCAGCATGCCTCTTAGCAGTTAGCTATGCACCTGATCACCCAATAGCTCGGAAAGCACATGAGAGCATGGGCTCAGCTCGCGTCTGTCGAGGCATCACTGGGACCCTCAGAGACCCTAGTGCTGGGGAGGTCTTGGTGCACTTTGAATCAACAAGAATTTGTGGGGCGCCACTTCTATGAAGAATACATTGATTGGTATCTTGAAGAAGAGAGATGGGAGATACAGTGTCTGTCTCCAGGGAGCACTGAATGTAGTGACAACTTAAATTTTATAGACTCTTCTAATAGAAACACTGGGGAAATGATGTGTTCACTCAGCCACCTGAGGGGTGCCAAGCCCTGAGCTGGGTTGCCCCCGTGTGTCTCTGTCAGGACTGTCGCAGCCAGCCTGTGATGTCCTTGTCAGCTGCCTGGCTAGATGCTTTTGACTTTAATTGGGTTGGTTTGGGAGATTTTGTTATGTTTGCCAAATGCTACTTTCTGTCCACATGTGTGTCTTTAGGAGCCTAAGAAGCTTGAATTAAGTATTTTAATTAACGGATTGATTAATTAATGAATTGATATATTTACACCTTGTCTCATTCTACAAAGAATCTGAGGCAGCTTTCAGGAGATATGCATGTGTTAAATAATGCATGACTAGGAGATTATAAATGGAAACAGGAGGTTGAAATCGGGGAAAAGGAGACATAGGCAAGCAGCCCCTGCAGACCTCTGTTCTTGTGCCTGATGTGAATCGGGCTTCTGGGATGAACTGAGACGAATGATAGAGATTCTCACTTTCAAGTAAGAAGCAAAAAATCTAGTACCTCCAGGAAGCAAAACTCTTCCAAGTATTTGACTTCAAAAAGAATTTTGTCACCTGCAGAAGTCCTTTGACTTGGGAAAACTTCCGTTTGTCACCATATGCAAAAAATATGTTCACTAAATATATGATAGCATTATTTTTAAAAATCATGTTGGCTTGTGTTTATCTCACTTTTGTGGTTAAAATCACAGGATTTGGAGACAGAGAGCCCTGAATTCAAATCTCAGCTCTCTGTCTCACTGCGCAACGTTGGGTGAGTTATTTGACCTCTCTGTGCTTCAGTTCTCTCATCTATAAAATGGTGCCTACTCAATGAGTTGTTGGAAGGATCCACTGTGATCATGTATGAGACACTCAGTCTGCAGCCCAGCACGTGGTTGAGCTCAGCAAGATCGGCCAATGTTATCGATAGTATGGGTTTAGAGTCTAAAAAATTCTTCCATGGATTTTGTGTTTGCATTAAACCATGAGCACAGCCCTCAGAAGATTTCACAATTTTCCTCCCTATCATTATAATGATACATTACGTGCACAAAATAAAACATAATCTTTATCTGAGAAAGTGGATGAAGAACCGTTATTTCCTTATATTAAGTCCTTTTGTCCAGTCGTCTTTAAGCCACTTTGTATGTTTTGGAGCTTGTCCTTGCCTTTCAGAAAGCGGTCTATGTTCTGTTTCCTGTCTAGGACATAGCATGATGGACACATTGGCTGTCGCCCTACGGGTGGCTGAAGAGGCCATCGAAGAAGCGATCTCCAAAGCAGAAGCCTATGGGGATAGCCTGGTATGCCCACCCCGGCCCCCGTCACAACGTCTGTCTGGGAGGAGGTGTGGGTGGAGTCCTGGCTGCCAAGAGAAAGTGCAGGTTGTGGGGAAACCATCATCATGATAGCCATCCTTGTCTAGAGCCTATCCTTCCCCTGCATTTGTGGTCAGGACTCCTCAGAAAGCGATTGCCAAGTCTCCCAAACACACCCACAGCTCACGACATTCTCTTCCTCTCTCTGCAGGACAAGCAGAATGAGGCCAGTTACCTGCGGGACCACAGGGAGGAGCTGACTGAGGAACTGGCCACAACCATCCTGCAGAAGGTAGGTGGGCCCTAGCATCCAGATGACTGCAATTTACCACCCTGGCCTGGACCAGGGCCTTTGGTGAGCAGAAGAGCCGCCATAGGCACCTTTGTTGTCTTGGGCACCGTTTCTTCTCTTCTTCTCACTTTCTCCATTGTACTCTGGGGCTAATGCAGAGGGGTTGAATTGCCCTGCAAAAACTAAGCGGTGTGAACGTGGTTGCCTTCAGGGATTGAGCTGGTGGGTGAGGAGCCAGGAACCCAGCCCAGAGACCTTCGTACAAATGGACTCATTAAATCCAGATGGCCATGCCCAACCTAGCAAGCGGTGCAAACAAGCTGAAGCCTTCCCTCGTGATGCTTGGTATCTGCCCCCTCCTTAGGGCTTTCAGACACTTCCTAAAGTCAGGATGTACGGCCAGAGACTCTGGGTTTGCAATCCACTTCCACTATTTATGAGCTGTGTGTCCTTAACTGATAACCTCTGAGCCTCATTCATCATTTGTAAAATGGGGAGAGTTATAGTACGTAGCTCTTAGAATTATTTTGAGAATTAAATGAGGTAAAGCATTTATGGTGCCAAGCACAGAGATTAAATGAGGTAAAGCATTAAATTAAATTAAATGAGGTAAAGCATTTATGGTGCCTGGCACACAGTAGGCACTTAATAAATAGAAGTTGTCAGCACTGTAAAAGGACTACTTGTAAACTGTAAAGTGATGTAGAATGTTCAAGGCTTTAGTTGTGCTGTTTTATCATAAGACCTGAAATCAGATGGTATTCTGTTGAAACGAAACACTTTTTTTTTTAAGATTTTTTTTTTGATGTGGACCATTTTTTTTTAAGTCTTTTTTGAATTTGTTACAATATTGCTTCTGTTTTATGTTTTGGTTTTTTGGCCACGAGGCATGTGGGATCTTAGCTCCCCAACCAGGGATTGAACCTGCACCCCCTGCACCGGAAGGCAAAGTCTTAAGCACTGGATTGCCAGGGAAGACCCTGAAACTAAGCTCTTACATGGCTAAGAATTTCCTAGAGATGGTCCCAGTTACCCCACATAGCACTGGAGCCCTCTCCAATAACGTGTCCCCTTTGTCACCCGCCTCCTCCCCAGATCATAAGAAAACAGAAGAGCAAAAGTGAGCAGCACGTGGAAGAGGAGCCGGAGTGGCCACAGCCCCAGAGTTGCAGTGCGAAGGCAGCCGACGAGGGGACCACAGCCTACCCGGGAGGCCACCGCGCTTCCACCACCTTCTGGGTGAGTCCCCACACCATGCCGGCCCACGCCCTACAGGTGCCCTGCATGTGTGCAAGTCAGAGCCATTATCCCCACAGAAATGGGGACACCACGCTTAACATCTATAGTTAGCACATGTGTCCACCAGACAGCCTGAGGTTCCTGAAGGGCAGGGAGAGATGCAGAGAGCGCTGCGTGGGGGCCAGGAGGCCTGTGCTCTTACACACATGGAGGTGGGTTTTTACACAGAGACCAATCTAGGAAAAATAACGATGTCAATAGGCTTTTTAAAATTAATCCTGAAAATAGTTGTACTGAGTCCCATGGAAAAAATGGCTTTCTGAAGGCCAGGTGTGTTCTTACAACTTGAGCACTTGTTTACTGAAACTGAGAAATGACAACGAGAGAATTGCCACTGCCTTCTGAGATCACATCTGGATGTGGGCAGGAAGTCGGGGTGTGAGTAGATCTTTTTGTTTGTCATCCCCAACCACAAAGCACAGTGTCCTTCCTGTGCCCCAAGGGTCTGGGCCTGCCACATCTGCGGTAGAGTCACCAAGCCCGTAAAATCCTTTGGTATGTGTTTAAGCAGCCCTGGCAACGATGTGTGGAGAATGGGATAGAGGCTGGGCCCTCGGTGTGGAAATTCAGCAAGAAAGAGCAGGACTGGCCAGCAGGGCTGGTGTTCTATCAGCTGCAGGTGCCCACAGTCATAGCACAGGGCAAGGGACAGGGCAACACACAGGTGCAATTTAAAACTGGAAAGGCACAATAAAAAAGAATGAAATAATGCCATCTGCAGCAATGTGGATGGACCTAGAGATGATCATACTAAGTGAAGCACAGGGAACTATATTCAATATCTTATAATAACCTATAATGGAAACAATCTGAAAAACTACATATATGTAAGTGACTCACTTTGCTGTACAACTGAAACTAATACAATATTGTAAATCAACTATACTTCAATTAAAAAAAAAAAACTGGAAAGGAAGCCATGGGAAAATCACCCCATCGCATGTTATTTTTTTTACTCTCCACCGAAAGGTGGGGACAGGTATTATTGGGCCCATTTTATAGGTAAAGAAACTATAGTTTTAGCATAACTTGCCTAAGCTCCCACAGGTAGTAATCAGTGGGGTCGGGAGTTGAGTACCTTTTTCCTGTTCCAAAGCTTTTGATCTAGCTTCCTCCTCTAAAACGTGAGATCAATGGACTCGATCCCTAAGGTCCCTTTCATCCCAGAGGTTCTAGTCTGCACTGTCCCATATAGTGACCACAAGACACAAGTGACAATTTAATTAAAGTTAAATTTAAAATCCAGTTCTTCAGTCACACTGGCCACATTTCAAGTCCTCAACAGCCCCTGGGACTGGTGGCTACTTTATTGGGCAGTGCAGATACAGAACATTTCCAGCCTCCCTGAAAAGTTTTCTTACACAGCTCTGGTCTAGGGAGCTAGATAAAGACGGAGCGAGAAGCAGAGGGCATAAAAGCAGAAATGCTTCTGGAGGCTGGCCAGAGCCTGGACGTGAACCAGCAGGCTAAGCCTCGGTTCTTGGGGACTTCGAGGAAGGTGGCTCTCCCACCTTTCCACGAGCTGTTCTCGCCTCAGACGCTCATCTTCCTCATCTGCCTGAGCCCCACTCCAGGGGCGCTGACTCACAGGGTCTGGGGCGGAGCTGGGCATCAGTACATTGACCTAAAGCTGGCAGGGGATGCCGGCAGGCTGCAGGCTTAAGGATGGCCTCTTCGTGATATCTTCAGGAGGGCACTCTGACCTACAGACCCTGGATGGCCCTAAACCAGTGGTCTCCTGGCAGTGCTTCCTCTTTTATCCTCAGTTCTCCAAGGACACGAATACCCTGCCTCCAGGGGTAACTGTGCAGAACCCTATAACTGGGCTCCTTGGGCTTAACTGCTAAACCCAAACTTAATCCATCCCCATGTTGACGGGATTTCTCATCTACTCTCTTGAAAGAAAGTTCAGTGTGATTGTCCACTTTTTAATTTCCTCCTTTATTGTGTGGTTCTCTGCTAGTAGGGGGATCAGTGCAATCTAGCTTTCAAAGCCTTAAGATGCAATATCCTGAAAGGCACCAGTGCAGGGGTTATAAATCATTTAGTGCCTATCTCTTTGGGTGCGTGTATATAAAAAGTCGTCTCTGTATTAATACGGTGATCCTGTTGATAATAATGATGACAGCAGAGGCTGGGCATATGCTATGCCCGGGGACTAAGGTGCATCTCTGTCTGACTCTGTCTCTTCTCTATCCTTCCCTATTTTCCTCAGCCTTTTCCCTTTGTGCTTTTGTCATTTTCCTCCCTCACATTTGCTCACTCCTTTAAATGACTATAGTACAGACCTAAAGTATTTTTCATTATTGTTATAATTATTGGATTGAATTTAATGACTATGCCCGACCCTAAAAGTACAAAGCAAAGCTATGTCTCAGTTGTTATTCATATGAACACTGTTATCGATCCCTTTGCCCATAAACCCTTGATACTAAAAACATTCTCTCCCTGTTTTATGACGTGGGCTCCTTGAGAGCAAAGACTTATTTTGAAGCCATGATCGGTGCCCCAGGGAGCCTGCCCTGGTGGCAATGATGATAATCATTGCAGTCATAGCAACAATATAACATTCCAAGAAATACAGGGAGAACAGGACGCTGCTGCCCACACGGGGGACCAGCGGCTGCAGAGGAAGCTTTAACAAAGGTAACTGATGATCACACTGCAAGTTTTGCCTAAAGCTTCAGAACCAGCTGGTTTGGATGGCAGGTCCTGCTGGGTTGGAGCATGTTAGCCAGGAGTGCCTTGTCCCCAGGTTTTCAGCAAAGGGTGTCAGGCACAGCAGCAAGAGGGCATGGAAGAGCATCACCTTGGAGCCAGACAGACCCAAGGTCAAGCCCTGCACCAACCTTGTGCTTGGGCAAGTTATTCCAGGCTGCCGCAACTCACTCATGTGCACCCAATAGGACTGAGTGAGGGGATGGACGTCTTGCCCTGGCTCAGTGGCAGAGCTTAATAAATGCTATTATTGTGACTGATATTTACTGAGTGCATTCTGTGTGCTAGACATGGCACTGATTCCTTTCTGTGAGGAAACTGACGCTTAGAACAGATCCTCCCAAAATCGCACATAGCAAGAGGAGCTGACAGGGACCCTCTACCCAACACATTACCCATTCATGCCCAAAGAGTTAAGCGGCGGGGCCTGTTTGAACTTCGCAGTCCATCTTTGCAAGGCTTTGCTGGCATGCTAACATTCCTGAACCCATGGACTCCACCCTCCATGCCCAGCCCCCCAGCACAGACACGCAGACACTGTAACTCAGGCCCGCCCGACCTGACATCACCAGCCCTGTTTCTTCCATGGACCCTAGGGTGGGTAAGAGGAAGAAAAACAAAAGCTGTGGGTGGGAACGAAAGGGTGGGCACAGCCAGGGAAACAAGGCAAATAAATTAATCAAGTAATCCCATCACTTCCCGAGAGCCACAGAGGTTGAACCAACTGGCAAGTAAAAATGTCGTGGTTGCGCCATCTTCTGGGCAATACGTTTACTGCAATGAGTTTGTGGCAAAACTGGGTCTAGGGTCTGGGGCTTTTCCACCCTGGCTGGAGACAGCAGGCCAGCAGTGTCCTGAGACGCGCTGGAGTCAGCTCATTGTGATTGTCAGGGTACAGCTGTTTTTCCTAGTTTGAAACAATGGCTTGCCTGAAATAGATTACAAAAGCCTGGCATCCTCAACTCATGAAAAACATAGATCCCATCTTCCCTGTTGGGACCACAGAAGGACTTTTCATTTTTTGATCTTGGCTTTCGTAGGTGAGGGAGCATTTTTGTCCTATAGAAATGGAGCCCAGCCACCTCCTACAGACACACACATACAGAAATAAAATATTGTTTGAGCCATTGCAAAATGAAATACTATCATTTCCTCTCTTTCAAACATGTATTCAGTGATTTACAGTGAGAAGTTTGAAGATAGAAAAATAAAGACCAAGGTACAGAAAACAGCTCAGGTGAGGCTGCAGTAATACTGCATCTGGCAATAGGCCATCAGCTCCTTAGGGGCACACCTGTGTCTTACATCCTACAAATTCAGTCACAAACATGGGACCGAGGGTCACATCCAAAAGACCATCCCTGTCTTCAAGGAGCTCACAGTCTGTGGAGGAGTCGATATGTTGGAATAGGACTGTAGGAGAGACAGGAAGAGCCGTGCAATCACACAGAAGGGGGGTTTTCTTGACAGTCCTAGGTGGGAGACATGTCAAGGGTACGTTCCCCTGAATATATGGGGGGTTTGCCATGGAAGGATTTTTTTTCTTCATTTTTAATAACTTCACTTGCCAACAGACTGTCACCCTTAATCTCTGCCTCTGTGATAGCTGCTCATCATCTGTGAAGGATTTCACAAAATTATAGATGGCTCCCTGAGTACCCAACCCCAAGAAAACCTTGGTTGTTGTGAAGTATCAGAGCTGTTCAGGGCGCTAGAGACAGGGTCAGTGCTTGCTGTGCCCTCAGAATGATGGAACTGGTACCCAACCGAGAGCCACTTGACGTGTGTGTTAGTTTTTCTCTCCTCCAAGACCTTGCCCTCCATGACATAAGTGAGGATGACAGTGGGCTTCTTCTTTGTTTTTCTTGATCCCCAGTCTCATCCAAGAAGTTAGTAAGATCATCATCATTATCATAATCAGGCTTCTGAAAACCTATCCTGTAGCCCGCCCCAAATCACATTCACTCCACAGTAAACATTCGTTGATTTCCAGTTCCGTACCAGTTACTGTGCCAGGGGCTGAGGATGTCACCATTAGCAGTCCATTAACCTCCCTCAGTTGCTTGCACCAGGCAAAAAAACAGATGTTGCAATAGAGTGTCGTATAACACAGCAAGAATACAAGCAGCCAAGACCCTCAGCCCAGCTTGAGGAAGGGGGTTTTCCACAGACCGTGGCCTGTTTGAACTGAAGGCACACTGAATCTCATCTAATCGATAAGAGGGGGAGAGCTCCTCCACTCCTGGGCTGCATTAACCTGTGACCGCTGCATCGAACGGCAGGTCTGGAGACCCGTCACACTCTCTTCTGTAATCAAAGGGGTGGGAAGCAGTTTGTGACCCTTGGTACACAGCTTAAAGCGTTCCGTATTTGTTATGCAAACCCATCTTCCTCCTGGATCAGCCTCAAGGTCTTGTGAGGGGAAATAGAAGAGGTTTCCAGTGACTCCTTCTGGACCAGAACTGGCTGCACCACCCTCTCCAACAAAGTGTGCCAGATGCCCTATGTCTGCAGGCTGCTGGGCCCTGGCCTAGCCTGCAATGATGGTGATGCTGGGGCTCGATCCTCAGCCCTCTCTGAGTCTTTTCTCAGACTGGTTAACCATCCTTCGGGGCAAGGCTACAGAGTGCATTGTCCTCTCCCAAAACCCTGGTCATGATGCTCAATTTTCTCACCTATATATCCTGGATCCGGTGTTTGCTATTCTCCTTTGTTATTCTCAAACACCTTTTTAAAGCTCACACTTATTATGCAATTACTGTGTGCAGCGCAAGATTAGGTTTCTGCTTCTCAACAAATTGAGTCACTCAGCCAAGGTGTTGTGGCAGAGATGGTCTTGGAGCCCAGATACAGCTGAGTCCTGAGTCCAGCCTCAGCCGCCCGAGGGCCCTGCCCACAGCTCTCCAAACATGCTCCCCTCTTAGTCCAGCCTCAGCCACCCGAGGGCCCTGCCCACAGCTCTCCAAACATGCTCCCCTCTTGTCTCCTACTCTCAGGACCTGTGGCGGGAGAGGAAGAAAGTTTACCAAGATGAGCCAGTTCCTGCCGGGAGAGAAGGCAGCAGGAGTGTTGTTGTTGAGGTTGGCCAGCTGGTGGCGCCAAACTGCCTGGGGCCTGAGTCAGAGACGGATACTTTGCTTCCTAGCTCAGAGACGCTTTTGTTCCTGTTTCACCCGTAGAAAAAGATCAAAGTAAATCACCAATAGAAGGGAATTCTTTCATTAAATGACAATGGAAAAAATTGGTCTCTGTTTGATGAAATTCCCTACACAGAACATTTGAGCTTCAGATTCTCAGTATAACATTTGTAACATATACAGCTCAAACATGTTTCTTGTCAGTCATTTGAAATCCCTTTTCTACCACTTGCCCTTAGGTTAGAGTTTATTTTCCTTTTTTTAACTAAATGGGAATGTGTTGCAAAGGCTCTGGGCTTGTGGACTGATCATCCTTGGTTCACTTGTCTATTGCAGCCCTTAGATTGTGTGATAACTTTCTACTTACACCGCTGAAATGCTCAGGTTTGGAGGTCTTTGAAGGGAAGATGCTCTCATTTTCATCACACACAGTTGGCCCTAAGAAATCTTGGCCGAAAGAATGGCTGGGGAAACAGGAGCCATGTGAGAACCTGCTCTGTCGGATTCTACCACATCTCTGATGCGTTCTGGCAGGCCTGCGTGCTTGCAATGGAATAAACAGGAACCATTTGTGCCATTATATGGCAGGAAGCTCTGATGTGCAACTTCTAAGCCTCAACACGAGAAAAGACATTACTATCAGCTATGTCTTCTCCATGCAGTGGGATGCCTGCAGATCTGAAGGCACTCCTCCTGGGGACTGTGCCTTACAAGGTCACCCCTTCCCCTCTTTTCTTTCCACAGCGGTCACAGTCTGCGTTCCCACTCAGCAGAGAAGATGCCCTGAGGACCTCTTCGCTGGAGGCTGCATCAAGGCAGCCGAGGGACCGGCAGCCGAGGGAGGAGGAGGCATTGCCCAGCTGGAAGAGCGCGGACAGGCTGGATGAGACAAGTAACTGTTCTAAGCAGCATGTGCTTGGTCTATGGGTTTCAAAAATGCTGTTGGGAGGCTTCTCGGCTGTCGTGTGGTTGCTCAGCCCTTCCTACCATCAGTCTGAGTGGGGTGTGCCCGTTTGGGACAGCTGGGCCGCCAAGTCATGAGGTCTCTCACACAGCACACAATATATAATGTGGACATGTTTCCCACATGGGCAGTTTTCCTTCTGAGACCCGTGAGACAGTGGGCAAGTGTGTTCAGATCACTTGGCTACACAGCCCCCCTTCAGCTACGTGTTCTATGTGGACTAGGAGAAGGTGTCTTATTATATGTAGGCCAGGAACACCAATCCAACCTAGCAGGCATTCACTGCAGTATCCAAGATACCACAGCTAATGTGGTCCTCAAACATTTGCAGGGCTTTTCAACTACTCATGGTAATAAGTGTCTCCACACCATAAAAGTAAACAAATAACAAAGAAAGAGCATTTCAAAGTTCAGACTTAGAAACTAACAAATTTAGCGGGTATTATAAGCACTTGTAAAAGACACTCCATTTCACAAAACCGTTCCTGCTGAATTATGAGCATTCCAGAAAAATTTGCAAAGGATCTTGGTTTTCAAAACATGATTTTGTGCATAAATTTCTCTAAACTAAGGCACCCATGTGTAATTTATCAGTTGCATAGAAACAAAAAACTTAGTTCAACAACATCACACACAGAAAAATGATTTCATACTTGGCTCAAAAAACCATGCATCTCTGGGGCTTTCCTGGTGGCGCAGTGGTTGAGAGTCCGCCTGCCGATGCAGGGGACACGGGTTCGTGCCCCAGTCCGGGAAGATCCCACATGCCGCAGAGTGGCTGGGCCCATGAGCCATGGCTGCTGAGCCTGCGTGTCCGGAGCCTGTGCTCCGCAATGGGAGAGGCCACAACAGTGAGAGGCCTGCATACCGCAAAAAAAAAAAAAAAAAAATCCATGCATCTCTCAGGATGAATATTTTAAATAAAAAATATAAAGCACTTGTATGGAAAACTGCTGGTTTTTCCGAGGACTGCTTGGTCCTTGACATGCTAAAATGTCCAGGCCAACCCCAGAAGTCTTGAAAGATGTCTGATCCGTTTAGCAGGAAGCAGGTTATTCCCTGGGGGTACTTCTCAGTCTCAGCAGAGCACAAATGTAGAACAGAGGAGGGCCAGAGGCAGAGGTCATCTTAGAAGGGTAACATCAACTGGGCTATTTTCAGCAGTTCTGTTTATGCTTCAGGGGAAAGGTTGGCTCTGGAGCCTGTTGGTCCATGGCTGAGGTCAGCTGTAGGGGACACTGTGGGCTGAGTAAACCCACCTTCAGTCTTCAGGCTTGACAGTGCTTACAGCAAGTAATCCATGTCCCCCCCAAACACATTTTCACTTCGTAGACCTTGACTGAGCATCTGCCATATACACAGCATGTGCTCATTACTGGGAAATAAAGATCAGGGTACAGTTGCTGGTCTTGAGTTTCTAACTGTGAGTTGTCTGCACAATCATGAAAGAGTGAGAATTTGGAGAAAGGAGAGGATGGAGGAAAGCAGGGTCCCAGAGGGTGTCCCAGTGCACAAAGGGAATATGGTACTGGAGCCCAGGCAGAGCTCTGAGAATTTCCCACAATGCAGCTTGACAACCAAGGTTTTCATGGGGTTAGGCATTTATGGAGCCATCCCTGCTTTTGCTGAGATAAAAATTGGCCAACTTCTAGCTTTCCCAGAGCAACATGCAATCTGGAATTATAAAAGGCAGAAGAAGAGAGGAGCTGGTGATGGGCAGACCCCAGCCCACCATGTAGTGGGTGTTGGAGGAGAGTCCAGGACCACATCTACAACACAGCCAACCCTGGAGGCAGGCACAGAGTAGCATCACTAGGGCCTTCTCTCTTTGGCTTCCTCCCATTGCCCCAGGAGAGGCTGCAGACAGCTGGACTCATGTAGAGCCGCACATTAAGTGCCCCATCTTCCCCTGCGGCCTGTGGGTGCCTGTGTTCACAAGCGAGTGGTCTTTACCAGCCCAGGATGGGTTGCAGAACTGGCCAGGGGCTGGGGGTCCAGCAGTGAAGAATAGGTGGCCCTGCTCTCAAGGAACTATGGTCAGGGGTGGGGGATGGGGGGCGGGATAGACAACCACAAAAATAAGATATAGTTTAAGTGTTAAAAAAAAAATGAAAGCTTTTTGGCAAAGCTCAGAGAACAGAGTAGCCAACTCCTCAAGGAGAGAAGGCCAAGGGTGTGCCACTAAGAAGAAGCATCAGATTCAGAGCCCCAAAGATGGTCCTGAGGGCAGACTTAGTGACTAATTGTAAGGCCCCAAGGATACACCTTTCCCCTGAGAGTGAATGCTCCACTGACGGGGCAAGTCTGCACATTTGCATCATGTGCGTGTCTGTTCGGCTTACCCCAGAAACGGACCCTAATACAAAGATCCGAGAGACAGCAGAAGCAAGAAGAACTACAATCCTGCTGCCTGTGGAACAAAAACCACATTCACAGAAAGATAGACAAGATGAAAAGGAAGAGGGCTATGTACCACATGAAGGAACAAGATAAAACCCCAGAAAAACAACTAAATGAAGTGGAGATGGGCAACCTTCCAGAAAAAGAATTCAGAATAATGATAGTGAAGATGATCCAGGACCTCGGAAAAAGAATGGAGGCAAAGATCGACAAGATGCAAGAAATGTACAAGAAAGACCTAGAAGAATTAAAGAACAAACAAACAGATATGAACAATACAATAACTGAAATGAAAACTACACTAAAAGGAATCAATAGCAGAATAACTGAGGCAGAAGAACTGATAAGTGACCTGGAAGACAGAATGGTGGAATTCACTGCTGCGGAACAGAAAAAAAGAAAAAAGAATGAAAAGAAATGAAGGCAGCCTAAGAGACCTTTGGGACAACATTAAACGCAACAACATTCACATTATAGGGGTCTCAGAAGGAGAAGAGAGAGAGAAAAACGACCTGAGAAAATACTTGAAGAGATTATAGTTGAAAACTTCGCTAACATGGGAAAGGAAATAGCCGCCCAAGTCCATGAAGCACAGAGAGTCCCGTACAGGATAAACCCAAGGAGAAACACGCCGAGACACATAGTAGTCAAACTGACAAAAATTAAAGACAAAGAAAACTCATTGAAAGCAGCAAGGGAAAAATGACAAATAACATACAAGGGAACTCCCATAAGGTTAACAGCTGATCTCTCAGCAGAAACTCTACAAGCCAGAAGGGAGTGGCATGATATACTTAAAGTGATGAAAGAGAAGAACCTACAATCAAGATTACTCTA